CTGTATTTTATGGGTGAAACGCCCAATAAAATCTGTTTTATTATATTCAATATGCTTGATGCATTTAACCTTTATTTACTGCTCTATCAGAAAAGTGGAACAAATAATTTCAGCTGAATCTAGCTTTGCAACAAGTGTTGAAATATGAAGCAATTTAATAGGAACAAGCAAAGCTCATTCACATGCAGACCTTGTAATGAACAGAGACAGATTCAGGAGTGTAGCTCCATTACTACATAGCTCAAAGACGTGTTTTTCAGTCAGGATTTATTTCACAAATCAGAAAAGTAATATCATTTGTCATAAATTAAGCACAGATTAAGTGACTTAAAAAAAAAGTCCCATCCAGCACACAATGTCAAATTTAGTTGATTTATATTATGGCCGATTGATATCATAGTGGAGATAAATGATTGGGTTATGAAACGGTTCAAAGACATTTTTCACAGTACCAAGGTTTTAAGTTAAAGTAAAGAGATAGCTGACATGTATACACACCAAGAGCAGGATGGATGTTTGATGTTGGTTTTCATCAGTTCTCAGGTGATTCAAGAAGTTAGGCTCTGAGACACTGCCTGCATGAATGGCACAAGTTGTTGTTGTACTCGACTTTCCTTGTGTGCTTCCAGGTCTGTGTTGTGCTTGACCTTCACTGATCCAGATAGTTTTGTACTGAAAAAGGGGAATCTCATATATACATAACATCATCTCATAAATGTGATAATCTACTTTCTGTATAACAGTTGAGATAATGTTATAATGTTACAGCTTTATTTGGATCATCCAATCCTGTATGATAATACTAGAAGATGCATTGGTGCAAACTGCTTCTCATGTCACTTTCCATAAACAAGAAAGGAATGGGATGAGAGAGAGAGAGACATACACACACTCGCACACTTACACACTCAAAAAAGGAAATTGTGTTGGGTCAACAACAGGTTGTGCAGCTGAAGAGTGAGAGGTGCCCAACAGGCAGGACATGATCATAGATCAGTCAAAAGCCAATGCACAGCATAGGATAAGCTGGGTGGAATATACAACATTTGAGGTAGTTTACAATTTGTTTACAATTGTATAACTCTTGACTAAATAGCATCACTTACTGCAACTGGGAAAGTTATATTCAACTATCAACTAATTTAATATCATTTATATTTGCATTTTCTATTTTTCTAGCATCATATTATCTGCATTTCTTTCAGGTTTTATGATGAACACTGCCATGCAAATCATGGCCAGCATCATGTACTTGAACTAGATATTTACTATAAGAGAGAGATTTCATACAGACTGAAGTCTTCAAGTCTTGTGGTAATGCTGGACTGATACATTTACAAATTCACACATGTTTGTGTGTAACATAACATAACATAAATTGCTATGTTGTGGATAGACTCATTATACTGCTTTAAATGAGTGCAAGATGTAAAATGCTTTTAAAGAAGAGGCCACAAAGTGCTTGCTGTGCCCTGGGAATCTCCACACTTAAAAGGTTTTCACTCACTTCTCCTCCTTACTTTCATTAGCTGAGGAAAGCCCTCCTCGGGTGAATGTAACTAAAATAGAGTCTTGAACATATGGATTCATGTCCAGTCTACCTTCCACTAAATCTGCAACCAGATGTCAATTAATTTTTAATTTTTGAAAAGCATCAGTTGAAGCACCAGCCTTTCACGAACAATGGGACCCTTGAGATTGGTTGAATGGACTAGGAATTTATACAATAAATAGCATGTTACATTGAACCATAGCCAGTGCACAGCGGCATTGATAAAAGTCTATATCTCCAAATGATTGAGCTCCCTTGATGGTCCAGTAGGTACGCTGATGTTGCTGCACTTGTTCCATACAGCCAGTTGCAAAAAAAATAATAAGAATATTACACAATTCAAGCTTTTATTATCTTTCAACTGAAATACTTGCTAAGTAGTTATCTAATTCCCTCTTAAATTTACCAACACAGTCTGCCTCCACTGGCTCCCTGGGGAGTTTACCACGTATACATTTTCTGTCTAGAAAAACGGAATATGATTCTTTGGTCTATTTTCCCCCTTCTGAGCTTTAGTCTGTGTCCCCTTTTTTGATCATGTTAAATATGTTTGACTATTTCCTTTAGGATCTTGAATTCTTCAATGCGATCTTCTTTCATTGATTCTCAAGTTTTGTTAAAGGATTTGCTTGCTCTTTGAAATCAGTGTTAGTAATTCTATATTTGGGCTTTCTTTGTGTATAGGAAAGTACCTCTGGTGTATGATGGAACTTCCAAACGTACAACATGACAATGTATTGCTTGTGCACACAGGAGGTTTAATATTGCATAGTGAGGAAGGATTGGACTTGAATAACATTTTAATATTTTTTGGTTCATTCATCTGTAACTTCATTAATATTAACCTCCCAATTGGAATTATATTTGAGATTTAATTATATTTATCTGAGCAGCCATACTCAATTGCAGTATTTCTATCTGGATTGAAACAAAATAGTGAAATCTTTTGAGTTTATCTGAGACCTGACATTTTAGATCTGTAATTTTAGATTCACCTGGTTTTAGCCCTGTGACTTCTGTTTTTCAGATTTTAAATCCTGCAGAATTTTGGCAAATTATTAAATTTAGTACCAATTTGGGATTTCTATAGTTCTTAAAAAGAACTGGCTTTTAAAATTCAGATTACTTGCCAAAATTCTGGGTAATCTGAAATCTGCATAATAGTCTTAAACCTAAAAACTGATGGAATTTTGGGCCACAGACCTCTTTGTTTCCGTATGGCTGCATTAGTACTGTAAAGTATTATCTGATTTTTACAGAAAGTAAGAAAAATAGCAGCTGTTAGTGGGAGATTCCTGTGAGGTCCAAGAGCTGTGCATAGCATATGGTTGACCTGAAACAGACTGTGTTTATTCATGACTTATTTATCATTCCTTCTAAGGATGAATACCATTAACCAAATTGCTCATGTTTCAGTTAGTTGATATTCTTTGTTTGATAAGTGATATAAACAGTGATATAAACAGAAAATAGAAAGTGAGCCACTGAATGTCAAAAGTGTTAAAGTTGTCTTTAAGAAAGACTGAGTTTGTAATATCACTCAAAGTAAAGGATGTATATTGGGGAGAAAAATAAGCTTGAAGGGGAATGTGAAAGCCCGAAAGTGATTTGGGCTTCTGTTCACACATTTTCTGAGCTGCAACACATAATTAAACTTCTCAATTAAAGAGAGCAATTTTTGCAATCAAAATTTTGGACATAAACCTCATGCAGAAGAATCTAAAATGACAGATAATCCAAACTTTGGCAAAATACAAAATTATGTAAATTATGCCAAAAATATAGCAGTTTTGGTGTTGAATAGTCAACTGCAGCACACAGGAGAAACTGTCTTTTTCAAAGAGTGCCAAGGATTCTTTACCATTTCAACCAAACAGGCAAACAGGAGCTTGGTTTCATGTTCCCTCTGCAGGACAACACCTCTATAAATGCAGAGCTCCTCAGCACTGCATTAGAGTGTCAGCATAGACTTATGAGCTCAAAGCCCCTGGCGCGGGGCTTAAACTCACAACCTTCTAACCCAGAAGCTTTCATAGTTAAAAAGTCCTGAATATTAAATGAACAGGATCTTAATCTCCTGATTCTATGGTTTTTAGATCAGTAGATTCATTTGGAATCAGTCTGTTGGGTCAGAAATCTGTAGATATTGAGTTTATAGTCTCTAGGTTGATACTCTAAAACACAGAACCAGGGAATTACAGTCATTAAGATACACCATTAAATCCAAATCTTGTCTGCCTGTTTTTTTCTGGTAAATGATAAATTTCTAATGAAATTATTTGAAAAGAGAAGTTTCTACTGATGTCCAGACCAAGAATCCTCCAGATCAATATACCAGTCACCTCCTGGTAGCTTGTATGTCATTGGCTGCCATGTTTGTCTGTAAATGCGGATGATTATACATAATAACAAATAATGTAAAGCACTTTGAGACACTGCAATGTTATAGACACTAAATAAAATGCAAAGATTATGATTGTAGAGTACATTGTTTCAGATTCATAAAGGTAAAGAGCCTGCATCCACAACACGATCAACATCAATTCCAGAACCTCATGACCCTTCGCTGTTCTCTACCAGCCTCGTGAAGAATCCTATGCATTATCCCTGAAACCAGTAATATGTGCCTTCTATTATCTCTAAGTGATCTTAATGAGGTCCAGTTCATATGTGGCATTCCCAAGAATAGATTGTAATCAGGAAGTGTAACTCTGATCTTTCTGCTTCCACTGACCATTCCACTACAGGAGTTGTCTCACATTTCCTGTACTGTAACTAGGACATGAGTATCTATATCTACTGTATTACCACTTTTTGTTCCTTCTTCAATGCATCTGTTGCAAAGCTGATGCAGCCAAATATTTAATCAATGCAAGTTTTATTTAGTGCATATTAAAATTAATTTTAAATTGAAGAAAATAGTGTGACTAAAAGTTATAGTAGAACTTATATCAGGGAGGAAGAGAGATCAGAACATACACTGTCTCTTTTACACTTATTTTCTCCATAACTATTTTTTCTGGTCTTGTTAGGCTACGTGCTTTTAAATGAACAAATGGGTAGGTGACCTGCTCCTGTGATACAGAGCTGATATCTTTTTGAGCTGGTATCTTGAAAGGGCACAGAACTGGCCCACTGGGTAGATGGTGGAGATGCCCCGCATCATGGATTCTTCAATGGAAACCTGTAACAATTATTTAACTTAATTTTTGCTGATCATTTCTAGCCTAAGCTTACATTGGTAAAATCTTTGACTCATAATACTTCCTTGCCTTTTCCTCCCTCCTTTAAATGTCTTTGGTATCGCTTACAATTCTTAGATTTACTGTCTCACATAAGAGACAGGGCACAATATTTAAAAATACAGGGTAAAAGTAATAAGGTATTTGAATCTGAAACAATACTTTGTAAAGATATGAAGCACTCATTCAGTGATTGGTCTTTGCAGCTTTTACAGGGCAAGTCGATCCCCAAGTATGAGACGTGGCACTCAGCAGAAAAGGGTAGCGGGGAAATGGATGACAGTGATGTGCAAATCAGCGGAGACTGTGATGATGAGGATGGTTGCCTTGGGTCGGGAAATGGAGAAGAGAAAAAATCTTCCAAAGCCTCTGAACGTGAGTCTTGCATGGTGCTCGAACTACCCATTTGGTCGCACACACTCATTCACACTTTGAAAGCATGTTGGCAGTAAAATCTTTAATGTGTTATTACAGTATGAGCTGCCAGAAGCCATTCATTGTATAATTACTTTTTTAATTGACTGTTTGGAGCATGCAACTGCAGAGAACCAAAAGGGTACTTACATTTCATCTAGCTAGCCTCAAAGTTTAAAAAAACAATGCCCTTAGATCTTAACCCCATGAATTGTTTTGAATGCATTTATGAACCGAGTTAACTAATACTATCAGGTTTTTAAAGAATAAACCATCACTATTAAGGATGAGATAGCTGGCAGTAGCAAACTGTGTACAAATATGTATGTTCTCTGAATGCACAACCCCACAAAAATGTGGATAACGCTTCATTAACCTACTAATTTATTAATGAATGTATTCACCAGTCACTTTTAAGATTTTATTTTGTTGCGTATACATAATTAATTTTCATTATAAACCTTTATTTGTTACTTGTGAATAATGTGTATGTTCCTATGAATGGGTACAGGTTAATAAAAACCTGTATCACTACAAAACATGTACAGCTTTAATTCTGCAAGGATTATTCATGCATTGCAGAACTTCAGGATTCCAATTGCAAGATCAGTTAATTATATACAAGACTGTTAGAAAACATGGGACAGACTTCTTCTTGATAAAATTAACAGCAATCATCACTAAGTACAAACCATCACATTGCCTCTATTATATCTCTCATTCTATGATTTAAATATACATATTATTATATATATAGTGTAAAAGTCCAATGAGAATATGTTCAACTTTTGGATTTTTTTTGTGTAGGAAGTAATTCCGAAATCTGAGTTAATATACTTCTTTTTATTTCTGGTTGAACAGTCCTACAGTGTATCATGTTCAGTACGTAGCCTGCTTTCTGTAAATGAAACTGAGTAGTGGTGTGGCATGTGGAAGGAACTATGATGCGCTTCAAAAACAACAACAAGATTACATTTGTATAGCGCCTTTCAGGTCGGGAGGATGTCCCAAAGCGCTGGGAAAACAAGCTATAAAGGTTCCTGGAATTTGAAAGGATCGGAATTTTTGATGCATTCAGTGTATCTTCTGAGAACTTGAAATGTGCCAGTGATCAAATTCTGCTTGAAGCTGTTACAATGTTAACAAGAAATGGCTAGCAAGGATCCACGGAACTAGGGTGAATCCAACCCAGTAAATCATTGCTAAAGTAGTGAAATTGATGTTCTTGGATTAAAATTGTATAGTGCACTCCACTTAATTACATATCAGATAATTACATATGCCATTTAATTGCATAGCATGCTCTAGGTACGAAAACTCGCTATTTGTTTGCATGGTATTGCATTCCACTCAAATGCAAATCAGATAATTGCTTAATTCACTCAATTGCATGAAAGATAGCAAATCGATTTCCTTTGCTTCTGTATAATTAGTTCAAATAATTGCATTGGTTGAGGATTTGACTGAGTGAAGTGTATGTAATGATGCTTTTTCAAACATATTATGAGAGGAGAGACAGTGAAGGAGAGACGAGAAGGGAGCAGGAGGTATAAAGAGGGGCAGTGAGGAAAGTGGCAGTAGAGACATTCCGTAGAGCACCGGGAAGATGGGGTCACTGATAAGCTTAGGGTAATTGAATAGTCCATATAATTGTATGGCGTCTGTCCAGTCCCTACTCCATGCAATTATACGGAGTGCACTGTATCGTCGGGAGAGTTGCCGGATGTGATTAAACTTAAAATCATGAATTTTTGAAGCCCTCAAATTTTAAAGCAATGTCAAATTTATTTAGATTGTTTGGTGCAATGCTTCAGATCCAAAATAATGCCTTTGATATATATGAAAGTAATAAATTAGCTCACTCTCCATGCGCTACTTTAATTGTATACAATGTATAGGTTTGTTATTCTTGTATTCAAATGATAGCTCACTCCACTGTACAGGTTAATCCATGTTGAGCAAACCCCTTGGCACAAAGGGTTTAACATTTAATTGTTTTGTGGGCTGTCTTGAATGGAGTTGCAAGTAACTGGTTAAGCTTTGTCCTGATGCTAATTGAATCCATTGGGAATTGATTTTCACTGTTTTGCTTTACTTTATGCCGGAAAATTGCATGTGTTTCAAGTGAGGATGTACAGGAAAGTCTATAGACCTACACATGATAGCCTTGAGAGGAGAATGAGAATCTATGCATTTTGGATGTTGCAACCGTGTTGATGAGATTTGTTTCATTGGGTTGTGTGTTTTAAATAAACCAAAAAATGTCTGATTGCCGCCGCTTTTCCATTTTTTAAAAAAATGTGAATGGAAGTACATATGGCAGAATTGCAAATGAGGTCATTTAATGATGTTGTGATATTTTGAATTTCAGAACAGCATTTTTGCACAGGACAAAGCATCTTGCTCTCACTTTAATATTGGATTCTTAGAATATTTCAGCAAAATATAGTTGTTGGGCATTTCAGGCTGAATCCGGCACCATTAAGGGAGTACATGCATCATCCGATAGATTTTGTGGTTCTTTATGAAATACATGAAATCACTGCATGATGACAGCAGCTATATAATACTAATAATAATCCTTGCATTTGATATAGCGCCTTATCATATCTTCAAGATGTCTCAAAGCACTTCACAAAATATACTGTAGAATGAATTGACTGTATACTTTATGGGCGAAACCCAGCAGCCATTCCGCACAGCAGTGTCCCACAAACAGTCATGGATTGAATGACCACATTTTTATAAGGGATTATTACCCCCGGAAAAGTAATTCGCCAATCAACTAACAACCCTGTTCCTCCTTACTGCCAGGTGAACAGAGGTATGTGGAGTAAGGAAACATGCCTTTCACCCTGCCAAGGAAACAATTCCAGGTCCTCTCACTTGCAAGGCGAGTGCTCTAACCACTAAACTACAGGATTTGTAACAAGTACTTTCAGTGGAAAATATCCATAATAATCCTTACATTTGATATGGTGCTCTATCACGTCTTCAATAATAAACTGCAAAGTGAATTGACTGTATATTTTGTGGGCAAAATACTAGTAAATGTCTACAACAACAGCAACAAAATTACATTTGTATAGCGCCCTTCACATCGGGAGGACGTCCCAATGCACTGGAGAATCAGTGTTTCAGACCCGAGCTGGGGGTTGGGATTGGGGAGGATGGAGGGCAGGGGGAGAAAGAAGATGATCGAAGGCAGGATCGAGGAGGAGGGTCTTGAGACAGGTCTTGAAGAAGGCAAGGGAAGGGGTGATGTGGAGGGACTGCAGGTGGAGTTCCAGAGGGTGGGAGCAGAGTGGCTGGGCGAGCAAGGCAGGGGACATGAAGTAGGCCAGAGCCCACTAAGTGGAGGGAGCGGGCAGATTTGTAGGGGGTTAAGAGGTTGCAGAAGTACAACAACAACAAGATTGCATTTATAGAGCGCCTTTCACGTTGGGAGGACGTGAAAGTTGGGGGGAGCAAGGTCATGGAGGGCTTTGAAGGTGAGGGCTAGGATCCTGCACTGTACCTTCTGTGTGATGGGAAGCCAGTGGAGTTGGGTGAGGATGGTGGTGAAAGGGTCACGGAGCCTGGTGCGGGAGAGGTCACGGGCTGTAGAATTCTGAATGATCTGCAGCCTATGGAGGGCGGAGTTGAGAGGCAGACAAGCAGGGAGTTTGCATAGCCAAGCCAGGATGTTGTGAATGCGTGTTTCAGAGTCTCGGCGGCCTGCTACGTGAGACAGTGGCGGAGCTGGGTGTTGTTGCGGAGGTGGGGGAAGGCAGAGTGAGTCATGGCATGGATGTGGAGTAGAAAGGATAGTTGAAGGTCAAACAAGATGCCAAGTTTCCAGACTAGCTCAGTGAGGTGGAGTGAGCATTCCTTGGATGGTGATGCTGTATAAGATGGTGCGCCTCGTCCTCATTGCTGATTCATCAAAACTGAAGTGCATTCCACTAAAAGCTTTGTGTATTATATGGTTATATTTTTGAAAATGCAATGACACCTGATTCTTTTTGATAAAAAAATGATTGGCTAATCACTTGACAACTGAACACATCAGTTTACATTTTAATATCATTCACTTGTTGTACTAACCTTTTTCGAGAGTTTCTAGTTCATAATGATTTGCAAGGATTGTTGCATATTAAATAAAATGTGCTCTTCACTCCCTCCCAACCAAAAATACAAGAGCTCCAGCAATGTTATTTGGGCAATTTGATCAGATTTTCTTGGATTTTTTTACTTAATAGAAAAAATAGATTGATGAAATTTCAGTCATCCAAAATCTTTTTGTTCATTTTTCTCCAATAGTAAGTGTTTTATGGACCACTTTGTGACCAGAGCATGAATTCCATTGTAATGTCACTTACTGCAGGTGACCAAGAACTGATGAATGTCACTCAGTGAGCTTGTAAGAAGGCCAGTTTTCTGCACAGGATGTAAATCATACTCCTTGGCTCCCGTCAACATCTTCTCACTTGTGGCACGGACTTCCTTGACCTCAGGCTTACTGAACTTGTGCAAAATCTAGGTGTCTGTTCTATCCCAGCATTCCTTCTGACCCCACATCTGGTCCCTGACCAGGACCACATTCCTCCAACTCGACCACATTGCCACCTCTGACCATATCTCACACCTAACCAAGTTGAAACCTTTATCCATGCATTTGTCTTCTCCCGCCTCGATTTTTCTAATGCCCTCCTTGCTGGTCTTCCGAGCTCCACCATTCATGAAATCCATTTAATTCAAAATAGTTGAACTGTGGTTCACTTTCAAATTGTTGCAATTTGTATAGCTCCAGTCATAGGATTTCATTGTGACACCTCTGTAGGAACCTTGGACATCTTTTTTCAGAATGTGAATACAATATTTCTAACTGCTCAGGAAGCTTGGATAATTTTCTATGTGTTCATTGGCCTTTATATAAAATGAGATTAAAATCTATAAAAATAAATGTTTTCTCTCTGAATTTCACATTTTATTTTTCACACCACTCGGAAAGGTATTTAAATATTTGATAAAACTGGATATTCATAGTCTCACTTCA